CCCTACCTAAGGGGAATTGCATCATGCCAGCATCGCATTCTTGGATTTCCCAAGTGCCTAAGTAACAAGCCATTAAAATTCATCATGCAAACTTGGCTAATTTGCGAGGAGATAAGGGCCACAGCTCCCCGGAGTGAGTTGAGACGACTAGCCACGTCACACTTGGCCGATCGGCTCTAGCACCATTCTGATGGCGACTCCAGGAAGTGCTCCACAGCCCCCACTCGAGTATTGTCTGTCTTGGATCGCACACTCAACTTCTGAGCGGCGATTTCGGGCTGCAGCCAAGCGTGAATCTGAATGCATAATGAGAAGGGGCTTCGCCGCCATTATACTTGGGTTCAGGTGGCAGATATGGCTTCTCGGCATTAGCATTAGCAATAGCTTTGGCTTTAGCTTTGGCTCTGGCTCTGGCTTTGGCTTTGGCCGGTGGCCAGTTCAGCTCACCTAGTGAATTGGGGGCGAACGGGTTTGTTGTCCGGGTCTTTTGTCAGTACGTGGTAATTTAAGGTATCATATTATTCTCATTTTAATGGTAATAACTTGAGCTGAAGAAAGCTTATACTTACACTCACTGGCAAAAACAAAAAGTAATTTAATTCTTTTGGAAGACTTGGTAAAAGCTTGAATTAAAAAAAGGATTTACGTACTGGAAACTATATACAATTGTTATTGATAAATTATGTAAAAGCTATTGATTTCGGAACGAATTTTCGTTCTAAATTCTATATTTTTGTTTATAAACCCTTTAAACCGCCTGTTAAACACTACTTTGTAATTAATTAAATTACAAACGTTTTCGCCCATCAAAGACGAGAGCAACCTACCTCTAAACAAAGTTTAGCTCATAGGCACCATTTTTGCAACTTCGAAGCTTAAATTCTAAACAACCTACATAGCTCTGGAAAATGTAAAAGCACTGATATTAATATTTATTTGATAAGTAGTCCAATCAATTAACAAAGATCCTTGAACAACCTAGCTCTAAACAAAGTTTATCCCATAACCACCCATTTTGCAACATCGAAGTTTAAATTCTAAACAACCTACTTACCTCTGGAACATGTAAAAGGAGTGATATCATTATTTATATGATAATTAGTCCAATCAATTTACGCAGTTCCTTGAATGATTTAGATTTATGATTATCAGTGCTTAAAAACTCATAATTTTTTTTGCTTTCAGGACGATGGTGGCATCGAGTTCTTCAACACCATAGTGCTGCAGCCGCACCTGAAGCTCATCACGGACTTGGGACGTGGCTACCACGTTCGCTGTGCCTACAAGAGTCGCGATGCGGCCATGAAGCCCAAGAAGTATCTGCGCAAGCATGCCCAGAAGCCGCAGGCCTTCCGCAGCGAGGATCGCAGGGACTACGGACGATCGCTGGACAAGCAGCAGGACGATGACCTCGACGAGGAGGATGTCTACGATGCGAATGCGCCGCAGGAGGAGCAGGAGGATGTGAGCAACAACGAGATCCCCATGCCCGCCTGCCACATGAAGATCTACAACGACGAGCACAAGATAGCCGACGATGTGAAGATCGGAGATCCCCTGACCATAGTGATCAGCATCGATAGACAGCAGGTTTATGGACTCCACGTGACGGACTGCATAGTTCGCGATGGCTTGGGCTGGGGAGAGCAGCGACTGGTGGGCGAAGATGGGTAAGTCACCACAAATTTAATCTATATTTATATATGTTATATAATTTATGACCTATTTAAACAGCTGCCCCATGGACAACGAGATCATGGGTCAGTTCAACTACACCGAGGATCGTTTGGCTGCCAATGTGACCTTCCCGGCGCACAAGTTCCCGTACACAACTTCCGTTTACTACCAGTGCAATGTGCGGCTGTGCGCTTTGGAGGATCCCACCTGCCAGGAGGCTCCTCTGTGCAGCGGCAAGCGGCCCAAGCGCCAGACGGCGGTCGACAGCAAGGAGGAGGACGGCCTGCCCGCCACCATTGAGGTCTTCTCCGGCCTGTATGTCAATGAGAACGAGAATGCCAATGACAGCGACGACGATGCGGTTTACAAGGAGAAGGTGGGTGTCGGGGAATTTATATAACCATAGTAATTCGATTACAAATGATTCCGATTACCCATAGAAGTGCAATATTTAAATATGTAGTACTTATTTATTTAATATTTAACATATATACTCAATATATTTTTCCGTTAATTAAAGATTTAATATTTAACATATATATTAAATATACTTCCCTCAATTTCAGACTCTGGATGATGCCCTGTGCGTGTCGCAGCGCACCTTCGCCATAGCCATTGCCATTGCCGGCCTGATCCTCATGCTGGCCGTGGTGGCCGCCGTGCTCTGCATCATGGCCCGCAGGAGCACCAAGACGGTGTCCAACTCGGGCAGCTCGATCTACAGTGGACCCTACACGAACACCGCCTTCTCGCACAGCAGCTAAGCGAGGAATGGGGAGGTCCTCAAAGATTCCATTCAAAATTCAAGATTCCATTTCCAAAATGCACAACACTCAAAGTGTTTAAAATCAGAGAGAGGAGATTAGGTCGCGCAGGTGCCGCTGCGGTAGTCAACGATTGGTAGGATTGGGAGCCACCTAGTTTGTAAGGATACCGGAGCAGTCAGTCGTACAGCGGCTGTTCCATAGATTAAGCCTAGTCTTAGTTTGCAATATGATGTGCAGAGATTACCGGGCAATGGCGGGTGTCCATCCCCATTGCCCGCTAATGTCGCAGAGATCTTGGGTACTCCATGTCCAGATGGTATGGTTTTGGTACCCATTCAACTCTGTTCCGCACAGTCGGTGTTGGACTCGCCCTTCCTTCAGACACTCCACTGTAAGTGTAAGCGTGTTTCTACATCCCTACTACCCTACTACCCCAAGAACCCCAACTAACCTATTGTACTTCCCCTAACTTAATCACTCGAACTAACAACGAATGCAGCAGCCGACGCTCAGGTGATATTTGTACTCGTATCTACTTAACGACTAAATCCTATTCGTAATTTATTAATTTATCGGATGCCTAACTGCCAAAGGTCCAAAACTACAGCACTCGACGCCCTCTTAGTTGAATTTCCTGAACATTTTCTTGTCATTGATATACTTAACGCGTATTAAACCCTTTGCGGCAGGAGCCCTTATTATAAAGCAGCCGTCCCGATCAGCCACTTACTATACCGATATATGATATATGGATATATGATATTTGATATATGATAATGAAAACGGAATGTCTGGCAACAGTTCTCAAAGTAAGCTTAGGCCTTTGCACCGCTTCAATCGAGCATTCCACCGCCCACTGAAAAAATAAAGGGAATGCTCCTCTGGAGCCGTTCAATACACGGAATTCAATTCATATTTTAAAGCTCAATTTTAGTGTACCTCTAAGTTAATATTAATCATTGAACAATAAACTCAAATTGACCTAAATACCTGCTGTTGTTTTTGAGTGGCACTACCTGTCTGGGGTTACAATCTGATGGGGCCACGAATGGAGAACAATATCAGTGTGGTTTTAGGATTGAAATGAACTGGTTACGAAAATATATACCTAATATTTGAAAAGGTACGTTTTTGTAAGAACAGCATGGAATAGCGTTTTCGTTCTTTAAATATTTGCTATTACAACTTTTCAATGTGATATTGAAAGCGTTTTGATTTATTCTAAATGTGAGCTCAAGCCTTTTTAAATATTTAAATTTATAAAAATTAAACAATTTTATATCGAGTTTTGAAGTTGTACCTTTTGACTTATACTATCTTGAGTAAATATAAAAACATATATCATACATATATAAAATATATACAGTGTGTATTATACTTATTTCATTTAATCAAATTTTTTAAATTATAAATTTATAAAAGATTTATAAAATTACTGAATTTTGATGGTTTTATATCCAGGTAATCAGCAATTTTGACAGCAATGGCGACTACGAAAATTTTTGTCTTTAATTTACTGATGGGTATTACTACGTGCTCCCTAAATTGTCCCACTGAAAAATCGCATCAGGTGCAGTTCCACCTGGTTCGTCAGTGTCAACGAGCTTCGGCGCAGGATGCACTGGCTCTGGAAAATACATCTTCCTTGGAGGACTGTGCCCATCTAGCTCTTGAAATTCGGGGTCTGGCCATAAACTATGCTCCCGGAGGACCCAAGAGAAGGAAAAACATATACGATCAGAGGTCCTTGGGCAAGGAGACACAAAAACAACAGCACATACGGAGTCGATTGAGTGTTTTTGAACAGCCTGGGGAGTTTTTCAACTGCCACGTGCTGCCGTGTCCCCAGAATAGCACCTTTTCCGGCATGGTCAACGATAGTCGCTTTGATTATTACAGTTTATATGGCAGGCCAGAAAGTAGGTATACCAAAAACTCTATTAGGATATCTATTCTATATGCTATTGTAACCAGTTGTCCGGAACTATAGCTGCATACCGCAAGTTGGCCTATTTGTGATCTATACCCAGCCCAGCATCTACTTGAATGCCTCCTTGACCTGCACTAATTCCTCGGAGTTCACTGGCAGTCTGGCCCACGTAGCCTCTGAGCACAGAACCAACTCCTTGGCTCAGTGGTTACGGGAGTTTAACAGGAGGCCTCCCATAGAGACAAATATCTTCTTGGCTTATGTGGGTTTGGTGTACAATAGCTCTACATCCCTTAGCCACCGTGATTTTAGGAATTCCCAGCAGGAAAGCCTGCAGTGCTTTCTTTACAGAGCCTGGGAGGCAGGTCATCCTCGTATCAGGTGGATTGACATCGTTTTTTAAAAATACTTATTAAGTTAATATGTACAAATTTCCAGTCAGGAACTGACAAATGCCAGCTGCGTGGCCCTAACACCTCAGGGAACTTGGAAAACCCTAAACTGCGACCAGCAGCTGCCTTTCATCTGCGAAATTCACACGACCCGGCCAACTGCCACCTGGGAGCACTCCGAATCCGAGCTGGACATTGGCCCAAATGCGGTCTTCGAGTGCGAAAACGATTGAGTCCTATTCGCAGCCGTTTTATTCACTTAAGCAGTTTTCAAAACACAAAAGCCAAATATAGTTATTATATGGTGGTAATCCGGTTGCCCGCCTCTCGCACGCAGTATGTGTGTGTGTGTGTGGAAAGTGTAGATCCAGTTTAGATGCCGGACCACCGGGAACGGAGCCGCCGCTTAGTGGTACTTGTAGTTCCTGTGGTGCTTCAACTTGGTGTAGTTAATCATGTAGAAGAACGTCATGCTGGCGACGGTCAGCTGGAAGAAGGGAGCGATCCCGGCGCGCTTGGGGAACACGTACTTGTGCTGCCAGCGCCACCAGGCACGGCTCACGGCTCCGGCCACAGCGTTGGGGGTCTTGTTGCGGCGTCCCAGCCAGGCACCGATCTCGCCCAACTTGACCTGGCCGAAGGGCACATCGGCTGTGAATCGAATAACATAGAATTATATAAATTTTGTTTGTGGGCCAGTGTAAATGTGCTCTGCGCCTGCCGCAAAACACCGAGCGAAAATTACGTAATTTCACGGATTTGTCTTACCTTTGCCGTAGAAGCGGGCCGGGTCATAGGGCCCGTGCACCTTTGGGTTGTATTCAGCTGGATAGTCACCGAAAGCCATCTCGCTGATTTGGTTAAAATAAATTCTTAATTCAGAGTCTTATGAAACGAAAAATTACGCCTGCTACTTACTCGTTCGATACCAAAAGTATGACAATCAGTGTGACCAAAGCGGCACAGTCTAGGTATTTTTCGACACCAATATACCAAATACCGTTGGGCTAGGGTGACCATTTTGGAATTTAATTATAAAATTGTTTTTTTTAATTTAAATATTTTTTACAATTTAATTTAATTGAAGTAGTCTTTGTTTCTGTAGTATATAATATAAAATATTGTTCTTGATCCATAAGACACAAAAATAATACAAAAATAAAAACTAAAACATAAACAATATAAATATGAAAGCAGAGACTAGTATAATTAATCCCAGTACACCTATATAATTTGCAACAACATAAAATTATTTTAATATCGAAGCTCACCAAAATCTATAAAAAATGTCACGTTAAATTTGTTCGCATTTGGGGTTAATTAAAAGTTTACTTAATTGAGAACACTATGTAATAAAATATTAAACGTAACTATAACTATAAGAGCATAACCTATTTCGTTTTTTATATTATAGAATTTGTAAGCTTTGAATTCTTGGCGCCCTCTTTGTCGAGTTCCCAGGAACATCAGTATTTTTAGTATGTTTTTTGCAAGTCCCAAAAATACCACGAGAAATTTAAGTTGCGCCACCTGGCAACACTGCAGCTCCAGTATATACAGAAATCAAATACGATTTTTGCAAGCCTGGCCATTCGAATTGGAATCCAACCAACAGTAAAACGGATTTGTAAACAAAAACAATGAAACTGGAGGAGCTGCTGACCAAAGGATCCTCCTCGCCGCCGGAGGACGACGACGAGGACGAGAAGGCGGAGCTGAAGCCGCAGAAGTCGAGCAGCGCCACGGCGGACGAGGGGGCGGAGAATGCGGAGGATGCGGCCGAGGATGCTGGCGAAAAGGAAGGCGCGGGTGGCAAAAAGAAAGGCACGCGCAAGAAACGCTCACTAAATTGGGAGGAGGCCGAACGGGGACTGCTCCTCGAGGTCATCAAGTCCAAGGTGGCCTTCGTGGAGAACCGCAGCGTGGATGCCAAGAGCATAAAGGCCAAGCGTCTGGCATGGTCGCAGATCACCAAGCAGTAAGTTGCGCAATGCTGTCCTAGGATGAGCTCCTCTTTCAAAAACCTTTCCCATTCAGATTCAATGCCCTCAACTTCCGACACCGTCTGCTGGAGCAGATCCAGGTGCAGTGGCGCAGCATGAAGAACTCCGCCAAGCGGGAGCACCAGCAGAAGCATCCTAAGGCGGAGGCCCTCGAGGGCATGCGCATGATCGAGTTCCTGGAGGAGATGCAGAAGGATCCGGTCACCTCACGCAGCCAGACACGCAGCGCCAACAGCACCAACGGCGTCGCCAAGAAGGAGCTGCTGGACATCGACGAGGACGAGGACATGCCGCTGGCCGCTCTGCCCAACTCCACGAACGCCAGCGAGGACACACTGCAGACCTCCACCATCGCCATCCCCTCGCCGCCGCCCTCCACCGCCGGCGGGGATGGGGACTCGCAGCAGGAGGCCACTCCCGCCGCCCAGTTGCCCGTCCAGCGACGCAAGCGGGCCAAGGCCAAGCCATCGCCCTCGGGCGCCAAGACAGAAGCGTCCGCCGAAACGGGGGAGGAGAACGAGAAGGGCGCAGCCTCGCCGCGAAAACGCAGACAGAGGAATGTGAGTTGGGACACAAGTCCATCCTTAACAGATTCTATTCGAAATCAGATGCCCAAATCGTATAGGAGAAGGTTATAATTTTAATAATATAAACTAGAAAGAGTGCAAAGTATAACGTCAATCTTTAACTGATTTGTAATTAAATGTGATTTTTAGTAGGCATAGAAAATTACCCTAACAGTTTCCATTCGAAATCAGATGCCTAAGTCTTTTATACCCTATGGAAAATTATGGATTTTCAAGGAAAAGGATGTGCTTTAAAGAACTTTAGCTACACGGATTGCGAAGCATAACTTAAAAGGACAATGCTGTCCAATCTTAACTGATTTGTAATTAAATGTGATTTTTAGTTGACTTGGGACAGAAGTCAATCCTTAACAGATTCCCGTATAAACAAAGATTTTTACCCATATAATCTTAAGTAGACTCAGAAGTCTGCGAAATTTCAGTTAATTATAAGGTTACCCTAAGATTTTGCAGCATTGCCCTTGAAGTTATACTTTTAATCTGTCTATTTTAGTTGAGGCTTAGTTATAAATACATTTTAACATTTTAATTACATTTTAGCATATCCTTGTTCTTAATAATTCTTAATTTTCCATATAGTAGATAAGATTTAAGCCGTATTATACCCTTAAGTCAAAACGTTTTTGTTTTCCTTATTATGTTAAGTAAGCAGAATTCGTAAAGTCTAGAATATCCTCAGCTTTGGCAGCATTGTCCTTTAAAGTAATATATTACATAGTTTAGATAGGACTTAGTTATAAATATATTTTATGAAACATATCCTTATTCTTTAAAACCCTACATTTTCCATAAGATAAGATTTGGCTGCATTATCTCTTAAAATCGTAAACTTACTTTTTTGTTTTTAAGTAATTAGATAGTATTTCGAAATGGTATTATCTAATTTAAGAATTATAAAACTTACTAATGATCTTTCATCTTTCACCAGCTTTCCCAAGCCCAGTCGCTGCTGTCCGACGAAAACGAGCCCTCCAATAGTGTAGCTCAGACCGGTTCGCTCCAGCAGTTCTCGCTAGCCGCCACTGCCGCGGTGGACACGAATAGCCAGACCTTAGATCTCGTCGCCTCCTCCGAGATGGAGCAGAAGTACAAGCAGGACCTGTTCCGGCTGCTGAAACAGGCTCGCCTGGCCGAGATCGATTACGCCCGGCGGGAGCACGAGCAGAAGCTGCGCTTCGAGCAGATGGAGCAGGAGGTAAAGATGGCCTACTACCGGCAGGAGCAGGACCTCAAGCTGCGGCACATGCGCGAGGAGCACGACATCCGGCTGCGGCAGCAGCGGCGGGAGCACGAGGCGCGCCTGGGCATCTACTCGCTGAAGGGATGCGGCCTCAACGGAAGCATACAGGATCAGAGCTCCGCAAAGTGCAATGCCAAAGCGGACTACAACAATGTCCACGAGGCGGGGCCATCGACCAGTGCGGAGGGGGCGCTGGCGCTCAATACCGCCGCCGCCTGCAATTAGGGCTCACATTGCATACACAGTACGGATTGCCAGCAATTAGCGTGTAAGGGCATTTAGAGGAAACATCAACAGTACTTTAAAATTTAGCTTGAAATACGTTTAGCGAAATGTAGCTCATCCGGAGGCATCCGGTTTGGCCGGAAATGCAGAAATCCGATTACGGATATGGGAACGGAAACGAATACGAATACTCATCGACACACTCAAGTTGCCACACGGACAAATGGACTGTTGTTTTTTGTGCATTTCGCACCACACACGAACTCACAGACATTGCATTTTCAAGAAAATTAGTATTATAAATATATAATTGTATCGGTATCTGTTAAGTATTCCGGGCAAAGAGATCAATTCAAAACGCGGTTGTGTCGTCGAACAAACAAACAAACAAACAAAATACTCAAAAGCACAGACTCTGAATAAGTTCCCCTTTTTGCAGAACGCAATTTACTCATCAGTCAGTATTCTCTATGGCCACTGTATTATTTTTATATATTCATTCGGTTTAGTTTTAAGCCTTTTTTTACATAACTACCATTTATACATAGGGTGCAACCATGCCGTAAATATGTAAATCAATGTATGTTTGTTCATACATAAACGAGAAACTTTTATAATTCGTGTAATCATAAGTTACTGTACGTCGTGTTGTATAGCGCTGTAATATCCTGTCACTTGCTTCAGCTTAATAAATGCCGTATATGGGGCGAGAGCAAGGTAAAATTAAACCATTAGATAATGAAATACAAATACATAGTGTGTAAACAGTTGGGATGATTGTTTTAAAAGTTTAAATAGGGATTGGGAATATGCGAGCAAACTGACTATATGGTAATCCTGCTATTTTCGTTTTTTAAATGAAACTATATAAATCAAGGGAAGCTTTTCTAAAAAACATTTCAAACGTAAAAGTAGAGATTTATGTAAAATCAGTGTTTAATGGAATCAAAAACTATTTCTTTTTTATAAAAAACCGTGTATCTAAGTAACTATTGGAACTAATTATTTTTCGAGAAGTAACACAAAATGAAGGACCTGGACGGTACCTTGGATACCCTGGAAAATGCCCGTTTCAATTATTTGTATGTAAAGGCCATTGCTCGGTTGGGAAAGGACTCGATCTTCACGAGCAACGAGCTGGTCAGCATTGTGATGCTCTACCATAAGTTTGTCCTGGCCAATGGACCAAGGGCCAAATATATGACTATATTGCAACTCATCATGCTGATGGAGCTCTTGTTCGAGATTGTGGATCGCGACTATATTGCGACTATTGTGTATAGAATTGCCCATACTCCGGGCCCTAGAAATTCTGATTTCTTTCCCGACAAACATGTGCATTTGGACGCATTTGTGCGGCTATTTACCATCTACTTTACCAGAGATCTGCAGATGAAGATGGAGTTTGCTTTCTCGGTGAGTTGAAAATTCCAGTTAATTGCGGCTTATATAAAATATTAAACTATTCTAAAGATCTACGATAAAACCGATTCCAAGCAGTTGAATGGCGAGGAAGTGGGCTCCTTTGTTAGCAAATTTTTTGAGAACGAGGATGAAGACGAAGCCATTGAGCTTCGATTGGTGAGGCAATGTTTTTTTTTTTTATGTTTGTGACTTTTATTTACCATCCCTGAAGGACATGAAAGAAATGCTCTTTCTGAAGTTCGATCTGGACAAGGATACCTACATTCAGGAAGAGGAGTATTACGAGGTGGTACGCCGACAACCAATGTTGCTGGAGTGTTTTGGCCGCGTCTTTCCCCCGAATCCTCGCATGGAGGTTCTTGCCCTGTGCGCCAATGTCATGACCTGGTTCGATGACTCTCCCAATCCAAGGATAGTCACAAAACCAGATGGAAAGGGAGTTGTGTAAGAGGAATCCCAAGTGATAGAATTTATTAAAAT